TACGCAGGAGAATGGTCCACTTGTAAATAGTATGAAAGATATTCTAAAACTCATTGGGTAGTTTACAGAGAGGATAGGATATAAATAAAGGAATAGGAAATATTGACAACAAATACAGGGCAGTATGTGAATAACTGTAAAATTCTATGTAATAGAACATTAGAATCTTAGAGATCTAACAAAGATGAAGGTCAAAATTTGAGTTGTGTAGCATTTTGTGTCATCTTGGGAACCCTTTATACTAATGTATAGACTAGTGTTAGGCTATGTACTTAAAGAAATTCTTCAAAAAATTGTGAAAAATACATAGATGCTTAAGCTTTACACTCAGAGATACTAAATTAATAGATAGGGAATGGAATCTGATTTTTAAAAGAAAGGAAGAAGGAAAGAAGAAATGAAGGAAGTAAAGGAAAAATGAAAGATGGTACTGATATACATACAATTATAAAAAAAAGATCTATTTATTAGATGCATTCCCAAGTGATCCATATATTCAATGTGACTCTAATTAAAATCAAACAAGCTATTTTTTAAAACAAATTGACAAGGTAATTCTACAATTTATTTAAAAAAGCAAAGAAAGTAAAGTAGTCAGAGCAATTTTTAAAAAGGAGAATAAAGTAAGATCTACATAACCTAATTTCAAGATTTGCCACAAAACTAATACATCAAGGGCGTATGGCACTGGTGAAAAGATAGACATGTAGGTCAGTGGAATAATCTTCAGCAGTAGATTCACACAGTGCAGTCCATTGATTCTTGACCAAATTGCTAAGGAAAATCTACAGAAGAAGAATAGCATTTTTCTAACGACACTGAATTTATAGAATAGCCTCACGTCACAAAAAACCAGACATGACTCATTCTTTGCATCATATATAAAAGTTGTCTCAAAATAAATCTTAGGCATTAATGTAAAATCCTAATACAATATCATTTTTAGAGAAAAAAATTAGGACAACATTTTTGTGATTGTGGGTTAGTCACAAAATTTTGTATAAAACACAAAATTCATGAACCCTAGGAGAAGAATGATAAATTCTACTTTGTCACCTTTAAAGTTTGTTTTGTGAAAGACCCTGTTGAGAAAATTAACAAACCACAGACTGAATAGCTATTCAATAAATAATATGAATATTGACTAAGAATATGGATTTATTGTACATAATATACAGAGTACTTTAAAAACTCAACAATATGAAAATAAAAGGAAAGATAAACAATTAAAATATGGGCATACATTTGAATAGACACTTCACTAGAGAAGGTACACTGGTAGCAACTAAGCCTATAAAAAGAAATGTTCAACAACATTTGTGATTAGAGAAATAGAACTTTAAAACCACAATGTGATCCCATAATATCTATCAGAATGACTAGAATTTTTAAAGTGTAATAGTAGATAAGAATACAAAGTGCTCACAGTGATGGAGAGCAACCAGAGCTTTCATCCATCCACTGCTGGGAGGAAAGCAAAATGGTGCAGCTCGCCCAGCAATCTCACTAAGTCTGATTTACCCAGGATAAAAGAAAACATGTCTACACCAAGACCTGTATGCCAATATTTCTAGCATCCCTATTCACTATATTCTAAACCTTGAAATAACCCAAATGCCCATCAACTATTGAATGGATAAGTGAACCATGGTACAGCTTTACAGTGGAATACTATTCAGCAATGAACAGGAACAGGGGGAGGGTATAGCTCAAGTGGTGGAGCACATGCCTAGCATGCATGAGATCCTGGGTTCTATCCCCAGTATCTCCTCTAAAAATAAATAAATCTAATTATCTCCCCACTACTGCCAAAAAATATAATTAAATAATACAATAATAACTGTATCAGTCTCTCACAGTCTCTTTGTGACTGTGAATGGTTGACAGCATATGACAAACTGAAGAAAAATATAAGTTCTACTGGATCTCCCTTGTTAACCAACGTTAATTTTCTCTATTTTGGTCCTAGTTGCATGCTTGTGTGGGTATGTATGTCTGTGTGTGTTTTATTGTACGTATGTATATTAGATATTTTAAAATTTATTCTGCATAGATTTATTTAATCTGAGTAATCTATAGATAATCTATGCAATAGCTTCCCTATAGATTAATATTTAAGATTCACGAATTACGTGGCTTACAAAATCCTACAGAGCTTTAAACTTCTGAGGTCTCCTCCACATTTCCATGGCATTTTTTTTTTGTTACTTTTCTTATTACCTTGAATAATAAACTTACAATAAGCTCAAAATGTATACTTTAATCTTTTTAACCAAGCACTTTGTAATTTGAACAGAGTAAATGTGTAATGAATTTTATTGACTATAAATCCATCTGCTAGATTCTGCAAAAGATATATTGTGGTTTTACATTACTATAGTTTACCGTATTTACTTACTTGTTGCAATGTAAAATGGCTTATATTGCCAGGATGAAGCATTGGTTCTCAGAGAAATTACTGCTAACCCAGTGTCAGGGCTATGGTATAAGAATATGTCTCATATCTTAAGATTTCCTATATAGGGTTAGAACATGTATACGCTTTTTGAAGGCATCATTTTAAACGAGACATTGAAAACGTTATTCATTTTATGCGTATCGACATGTAGTACATTATTTTAGAGCCATTTACTTTTTTTATTATTGAGTAAATCATCATGTTGCTGTTTTGAACCAGAAGATAATTGGGGCATATTCCTTGGGGCATCTCCTGCGGGTTTTACCAACAGTTAAGTAACTGAATATAAGAATCTGAAGGAACCCTATTCACAATGTACTGATGGTTGCATTTTCTGTTCCACAGGTAAGAGAAATTTTCAGATCATCTGCAGAATATTTCAGGAGTTGGGATCTAACTTATCAAAATTAATTATGTTATAAAATCCCTAGTACCAAGGTTTTCTGTTGTTGCCGATTCCACTGGTGAATAGAACACATTCACCACAACATAATTCATGCAGTGTTTGTCTAAAAATTGAAAAAACAATACTTCTTGGAACAAAACAAAAGCAAAATCGACAACACTGTTTCATGTTTGTAGAAGTAGTGAGAATACTCCCAACAGAGTGTTAAGTTTTTATTTTCCTTCTGGAAGAAGACAGAGCAATTCAAAGCAAAACGGGAAACTTGTCAACAGAAGGCAAGAAAACATTTGACCTACTCACCTATCTGGGGGCTTATGTTTGGATGTGAGAAAGACAATCAGCAATTTTTTTATGCTTGTTTTGTTAGTTACTTAATGTGGAAGCCACTCTAGATTACTACTTGTGTCATAATGCTTCTCTTGTCTTAAGGGTTTGGAAATATCCGAATGCGTCAAAGATCATGTTTTATTTTGTTTCAGTGGGGGTGGGAGGATGAGAGGGGGAAGATCAGATCCAGAATGATGGAAGGATATAGTAAGAGGCAGGACAAAGTGGTGAAAAGCGCATGTACCCTGGGGGAGATCGGGACTCAACCTTGGCCGGCACATCTTAGCTGACAGGGTTTCTGTAAAGGTGAGATAGAGTAACGTGTGCAAAGCCCCTTTCCTACAGTTCAATAACTAGCTGTTATTATTTCTCCCCTCCTTTTTGAACTTAGTGTTTCAATACTCAGCCTAAGGTATTTGGACTGTTCCACCTTGCATTGAAGTCATGTATCGACAGTTCTTTCTCGGTGATCTTGGCTTTGTCTTTTTCAGAAGGTTGCTGGTATGTACATTCGTCTCCTTCTTTCACTTTTTCTAATCAAGATGGCTCTTTCTCTCACTGATGGGATTCATTTGAATGAATTGAAACTGGATGAATTTACATAATGTGCAGAAGATTATTTGCAGTACATTAGGTACCCTGAAGACTGACTCAGATTTTTTGAAGGGTAGATTTATAAAAACTAAATGACTTAAATAAAAACTATCCTCCAACTAGGGTTATAATTACAGATGAATAACAGAGCTCTGAATTCATGTTCAAGTAACACTGAGAGTCCTAATTTGATTAACCATGGGACAACACAGGAAAGACTTTTTTCTATGCCTTATAACTTTCATTTCCTGATAAGTTTTTTTTTTAAACTCTTAAATATTAAGTTTTATGTCTAGGTGCAAAGATTGTTTTTGTTGTAGTTTATTTTTAAATGACTAATATCTATGAGTTTATTTAACTGTTACTTTTAGATAATAGTTACCTACCTGTCATTTCCCTGTATAAAAAAATCAGTGATATATAATCAAATGTTATGCTATAAGAGAAAAAAATCATATTCCTTATTTTTATTATAATTCTCCTATTTCACTACAGAATTTGAGAGAAGAAAAAGCATCAATTATTGAGAATTTAGATTCCCCAAAACAAAAGACCAAATAGTTACCCAAAAAGGACAATATTGAACATAAATTGTCATATGATTTTATATTCAATCATGGCAATCAATTCAATTCTCAGAAAAAAATTAATTAGTTCTTTTCAGAAAAATCTAATGGAGCTGTAAATGTTTTTACAGAGATTAACTCATAAAATACTACAATTCATTAGGCAATTAGTCTACCAAACAAATCTTATTTAGTCCATTCTACATTTAAAGTCATTTTAAATATTTAAATTTATTAATACACTTTGCACATTAATATGTATTCTGCTTTTGAGATAAATATTAATGTAATAATTACATAAGAAATCTTTCTTTAGCTGTAAACTTCGTGTTTTAGTGTGACTTCATAGGAAAAAAGCTAATAGAATTCAGTAGAAAATTAATCATCTGATTTGAAAGTTTTTGACAGAAAGAAATGACAGGACTTGAACCAGTGAGTTAAATCCCAAATCTTCTCTCTGATTCCACAGTGAATGGTATCAACTTTCCGCCCACCATCTTGTCACTGTCTCTGGAACTGCTGCTGGGAAGTTATGCATTTTCAAGGAATAAATACGAGAATACAGTTCACATTTCTTAAGTCACGATATTGCTCACTCTTGTCATAGCACTATGAATGATAATTTTACGAATACCTTCAAGTTTGTTTCATGAACGGTCACCATGCAGAATGTCACCGAAGTCACTCTGTTTGTACTGAAGGGCTTCACAGACAAGCCTGACCTGCAGATCTTCCTGTTTTCCCTGTTTCTAGTGATCTACCTGTTTACTCTGATGGGAAATTTAGGACTAGTTGTGTTGGTCACCATGGGGGTTCCCGGATCCACAACCCCATGTACTATTTTCTGAGTCTGTTATCATGCGTGGATGCCAGCCTTTCCTCAGTAATTATCCCAAATATGTTAGTAGATTTTATGTCAAAAAATAAAGTCATTACATTCTTTGAATGTGCAGCCCAGATGTTTCTCATTGTTACTTTAGGGACCACAGAATGCTTCCTCTTGGCCGCAATGGCATATGATCGCTACGTTGCAATCTACAAGCCCCTCCTGTATTCAGTGCGCATGGCACCCAGGGTCTATGTGCCACTCATCACTGCTTCCTATGTTGGTGGCATTGTGAATGCTTCTGTGCACTCAGTGGCCACATTTAGCCTGTCCTTCTGTGAGTCCAATCAAATTAGACACGCCTTTTGTGACATCCCCCCTCTCCTCGCTCTTTCTAGCTCTGACACTCGCACAAACCAGCTTCTACTCTTCTCCTTCGTGGGCTCTGTTGAGGTAGTCACTATCCTGATTAATCTGATCTCCTATGGCTTCATTCTGCTGGCCATCCTGAGGGTGCATTCTGCCGAAGGGAGGAGGAAAGCCTTTTCTACGTGTGACTTCACCTAACTGCAGTGTCAATTTACCATGGAACCATCCTCTTCATGTACGTGAGACCGAGTTCCAGCTACGCCTTGGACCATGACATGATAGTGTCTGTATTTTACAGCATCGTGATTCCCATGCTGAATCCAATCATTTATAGTTTAAGGAACAAAGATGTTAAAGAGGCCATGAAGAGAGTGTTTGGGAAACTTTGGTTTATCAATAAAGTGTATTTTTCAAATTAACGATTAAATTGAAACAAATGAAGAATGATGTTCTTTGTCGCCATATCAAGAAGTTATGATAAAATGGTTTTAGTGTAGTAATCTCTCCATTCTTTTTAGACATCTTTATATAAAGATCATAGTCAAACCTCCACCTCTGCACTTTCCACACAGGCAGAAAAAATGAGTCTTCCATTTGCTTCTAACTTAATTCACTCAGATACACAGACACATAGACAGATGGGTACAGATAGGCAGATACTGACTGCATCAGTGCAATAGTATGAGTGCTGACACAGCAAAGTATGGCAGGCTAGTGGCTTAAACAATTAAGACTTATTTCTCACTATCCTAGAGTCCACAAGTCTGAGTTCAGGGTGAAGCCAGAGCTGCCTTCTGCAGTCTTGGTCTTTGGGTTCTCAACTGCAATCTCCCTCGCCCTGTGTCTTCACATATTCTTTTCTCTCTGTGTGTCTATTGCATTAGAGTCCATCCTAAAGGTTTCATTTTCACTTAATTACCATCACAAAGACCTTATCTCCAGACACAGTCACATTCTGTGGTACAAGGATTAGAATTTGAACACATGAATGCTGGCATATATCCTCTGTTTATTTACACACACACAGTCACATATGCATGTTCTCTTTTCTTTAAAATGTATGGTATTAACTTTCATCTCAGTGCAAGCTAAGTTGAATAGGATTCCAAGTGGCAATTGCAAGTAACTTTATAATTATATCTGACAAGCTTGAGCAAATACCACCCAATTGATAGCAAACCTATAGCTGACATACCCCTGTACCACTTTCCATGGAATCATTGATTTGGACTCCAGTTTAAAGCACTTTTCTCCATCCTTAGATCTACGCATGGGCATCAATCTAATCCCAGCCAGTGAGTCAGGGATCAGAGATTTGTGTTCCAATTCCTAGTTTCAGTGCCGTGATGCTTGTGAGGGTACCTTTCTCTTGTTTTTATTTGTTCATCCAGAGCATGTACATTAAACTCATTCTATAATTTTCCACAGGATACAGAGGCTAGGCATTAGCGTTTATCAAGATTATACTTAAACTCAAGAATGACAAACCAAGCGCAATTTACAGGGTAAGGTATATCTGCTCTTGGATTTGGCTCTTTCTGAACTAAGCCCCTCTGCATCTTCCTGGGTTTCCCTACAGGTCTGATCCAGACTCAGCTTTGCTCTCTTTTCCTTTGGCCCTTACCCCTCTGTGATGTCTTTGCAGATGCCACCGCTCCTCATCGCTCAGGCTTAAGAACCAACGTACAGAAATCATCCCTACTACGCTCACTTTTACTTCTGCTTCCAGCAAGACTCAGTTTTATTGCGAGGATATGTGCCCTTCAAAGATCACTTTTCCTTAATTTCTTCCTTCTTCCCTTCCCTTCTTTCTTCTTTCTTTCCTTCTTTTACATTCCTCCATTATTATTATTTGCATTTTGTGAAAACCCTTATGATTCCAGTCTTAGAACATAGAATACAACCTACATATATTTCCCTAAAGTGGGATTACTAAGTTTAAGAACAACTTGACAGTATAAACAGAGAGCATTTCTTGACGAAACATATTCTTCCCAATTTTTCCGCATTTTTTTTTCCTATTTGGAAAGCTCTCCCCACTGCTATTCACACGATTCTTTCCTTTAAATCGCTCTTCTTAGTGAAGACCTTATTTGACAGTTTACCTGCTTTATATCTCCTCACATTCCTTGTTTATTAAATGCACCGTTTCATTTTTAATTATTTTGCATAATATGCAGTTTAATTTCTATTTGATTTGTCTAATCTATTTTCCAGAGTCTAGAACAATGCCTAATACATATTGTTCCTCATAAATATTCCCTTAATTAATGAATATTATAGGTTAGAAACTGTGAAACTATTTTTTTAAATTCAACTGAGGGACATTTGTAAAACAGATAACATTTTCTGTGTCAATGTTAGTTATTGTTTAGATTTTCTGGTTTATTATTTCCTTTAAATATTTTCCTCTTCTTTCCATTAGTCTATTTTGCCCTTCTTTTCTAGTCTTCTGAATTGGATATGAATTTTCCAAGGAACGCTATGGCAGTGACAGCCCCCATTTTTTAATATGTCATATTTTTGCTATCAATCTATTTGCTGTTTTTCTTATTTCTCTTTGAATTGGAAGTGGTTTAGTAGCTTATCTTTAAATGCCTAACTGAAATTCTTTTTATTTGTAACTGAAAATGTTTTTATTTGTCATTCATTTCTAGACAGAATAAAATGTTTAAATATTCTGAATTTAGAGCATTGTTTTCACTAATTATGGCAGATTTTGTAAATACTGCAAGTACTCTTGAAAAGAAACTGAATTCTCTCTTATTTATGGTCACAGCTTAATATCTATCTATTAATTTCTATAAAATAATCATATTTAATGAGTGCTTTAAGTTTCTGTGCCCTCTTCAATGTTTCCTTGATTAAAATTTTTAATTGATGTGTATTAGGCTTCCCTAATGTGGGTATGATTCCATGTATTTTTGTCTTTTCATTTCCTCTATGAGAAGCTTCCTGTTTTAGTATACTTGTTGCTACATGACTCTTTGCACAGATAACACTTACCTTTTAGTTTTCATTATGAACTGAAATTCACCAATACAAAGTATCCTTTTTTGTTTATTTTAATCTTTTCTGCAGTCTTCATTTTTGACATTAAAATGACAACCAACGTTTTGTATCCCTATGTATTACCTAAACGTGCATTTTCCTATACATTTATTTTTAACTTTCTGGAACAATTTTTAATATATTTAGCTTAAAAAACTATCCAGAAAGTCTTATTCTAAAGATATGTTATGTGCAAATATATACTGTATTTTGAATCAACATACTATGCTGATAGGTTGGATGTGAGATATGTGAGAGAAAGAGAAAATTTCAGGATTATTTCTATGTATTTGCCTAAGTGATTACAAAGATGGCTTCTCTTTACATACGATTAACATTTAGATATTGTTGGTATCTACCTGCAAGTTATCTTGTGAAGATAAGCCATGTTAATTATATCTCTAAAACCCTTTGAACATTGTCTGGCACATAGTAAGTGCTTAGCAAAGTATGCTATCACCATTATATCTTTCAAATTTTTTTGAGGCAAACACAGCTGCTTATGTTTCTGACATGCTGTATTCTTGTCTTATTTTCTTGATCATATTTTTATTAAATAGCATTTTGGCATGGCACCATGAAAAAGAGTATTATGTTGTAAGTTACTTCAGACTACATTTTACATAAACCATGATACGCACTAATGTAACAAGGAATGTTCAGGGAAAATGCAGATAGTCCAAATCATTCTTATCACCCATGATTTTTTTAAAAAAATATGTGTAATGGTATAATAGCCATGGTTTCTAAACTGAATTGTGTAGTCTTTAGTTAATTAGAATTTAGTTGAATTTAATTGTAATTTTCTCTACTTAAGTGTAGTCCACAAAGTCATAGAATCTGCAGACCATATTTGCCAACACAAACCAATGGGATACATTTCCTAATCATATAAATAATTGAAAGCAAAGTAAAAGCATAGTTTATAAAAAAGACTAGGAAAATGAAAAGAGCTGTAAAAGTATGAAACGACATAATGCTCATAAAAGATGAGAGAGGAGCCAAAGAAGCATAATTTAAACAGTCGCAAGACAAAACAAATAGCATTAGCTATAAATACAGAGTCTAGACAGCATGGATATCAGAGCAAAAATAAGTCATAATAGGTTTAAATGGCATTCGTATTGGATGAAGAAATATTTAAAATAAATTAAGTAAAGGAAAATGATGTACATTTAAAAGACTTGAATAAATTAGTTGACAGTTTGAATCTGTAAACAATTTTTAAAAATTAACTCCTAAAAAATTTGCACTGTCACATTTTATTTTTAATATTTAACAAATATTTAAGAAAAAGAATCAACTATAATTTTATAGAGAAAACAATATAAATTTCAAAAAATAAAATAGTTATAATCATTTTTTAATAAAAGCAATCTGTATAGTTACCAAAGTTTACACACAAAAATATCTAATACTTGGGAAATAAGAAAAATATGTTCTTAAATAACCTTTAAATAGCAAAGAACATGAAAGTTCCAATTGTAGATTATATAGAAGAAAAATTCAAAAATAAAGGAAATTTTAGCATATTATCTGACTAAAGTTTATGAATTGCCACAGAGTCTGAATACATTGTAAATTCATAGCTTTACAATTTATCTTTGTTAAAAATTTTAAAGTAAATGAGTCAAACATTTAATTCAATATTTAATTTAATGATTATAACAAACCTACAGAAATCAGGAGAAAGGCAATGATTTTTTTTAAAAACATATACAAAATTCCAACAAAGAAGCAGTTTACTGAAGCTTGCTGACACACCACACAAAGGTTAGCTTTTTAAATGTTTTCAGGTAGCCACCATTATATGCAGATTTAATGTGATGAATTCACAAACATGTCATGTCCAAAGAATTGCAAAATGACAGTCTGAATTTTTCTCATGTGCAAAGAACACATTCAGTTTAGGTCCCAATGACAAAGGAATAATCAATGGTTAAACCTGTAAGTGTACACAGAATGCTTCAAAAAACTACATAGGAAATAACAGAAATATTGCTTAAGTATTGAATATATACATATACATACATGACTCTCCATCTGGAAGAACATGTACACAGCTGTTAATACCTCTTAGGACATTTCCATTCTTTTAAATTTTTCAGTATTTTTCAAATTTTCTCGAATGGTAACATATACCATTCTAAATCCAAAATTGTGAAGTGCTGTTTTTCCTTTGCCTTTTGTGTTTTTGTCCTTTAAATCAATCAACAGTAATTTGTAAAACAGAAGGGAATATTCTTTAAGAAAAAAGCCTATGTGTATTAAAAATACTCAGGAAAGTGAGTGTTGTGATTATGATGGCCAGCATTTATTGGTACCGCCTTGAATGTTTTATATCCATTATCGGATATAATCTTTATAT